AATCCCATTCCCTTCCCAGCTTACTCACCCTGTGGCATCCTGTTTTTAGTTATTTGTGGGGCGTGTGGGAAGCGGAGGCGCATTTCCGCTACGATTTGGTATTGGTGGTGGTCCACGGCCCCGATTGGGCAACGGTGGCGGCGGACCCAGTGGTGCAGCGCCTGCGGGCAAGGGCGGCTGCCGCCGTGGACTATCAACGGCACACATAACTGGCGGCGGTGCCGAGGGCGGCGGATGGCGTGGTGCTGGCACATCATCCTGAATCTCCTCGTAGATATTGCTAGTTGTTTCATAGGCGGTGTCTGCCTGCTCCAGCGATGCCTGTTTCGACTGCCGCGTGGGCGTGGAGACGGGCGTCGACTGTTTGCTCTGCATTTGGCGAGGTGGCGTGGGTGGTCCAGAGGGCAGAGGCACCGTAGGCGATGCCTTGCCAGACGAGGAGCCCGACGAGCTCACGGACGTGGCATGCAACGGCGAGCCCGGCTCCGTGGGCGACTGAGATTTCGACGAGGGCGTGGTATCGCCCACCATATTGGGCGGCCGCGGTGGCGCCACCTGCACAGGCTGCAGCGGCACCTGCATCGGCTGTGGCGGCATTGGGGGCTTGTTCGGCTTGGGCACAATGCTGATGACGCCCGCGTGCGGCAAGTGGCGCGGCGAATTCTTTGGTGACATGGGCATGGGCGGACGCGCTGGGGCTGGACGCGTTGGAGGCTGCTTGGGCCGCTGTGGCACCTCTGGCGTCAGCTGCAGCAGCTGCGCCTGCTCCGTCGGATTCGAGCACAACGGTATGGTATTGGAGGTGCACAACTCGATCTCCCTGTCCACCTGCGCTGGCCAGTCGGGCGTCTTCAGCTCGAAGACCAGCTCCAAGCCACAGACCTGCGAACTCCGCTTGGCAGCGGCACTGAGCGCCGATTCACCGTTGCGGAAAGTCACCCACATGGTGTCCTCCACATAGCGCACCAAGGTCACTTCACCCATTTTAGAGAGCTCGGCTATGAGAGCTGCCATCACATGCTCGTCGTAGATAGTGGGTCCGTCCTCATCAGCATCCGCCGACTGCTCGTGCACATGCACCACAATGGTTGAGTCGGGCGGTCCCAGATCACGAATGACCTGATCGAAGACAGCTCGCCGGCGCTGCTGATCGATTTCCATGATCTCAGCATCGATGATGGCGATGACAGGCCGATGATCGCTTTGCTTCAGCTCGGAGCGGCCATAGTGGATGAGCTTGCCCGGATTCCATGCAGCCGTACCGACGCCACCAAAGTCGCTCTCGGCCAATGCTTTGCGGCGACGCCAGAGCACACGATCTGTCCAGGCTGGCGCACGCTGCTTCTCGGACGTGTCATAGTCATCGCTGAACACGTCGTATTTGTAGGTCGGATCGAAGGTGATCTCGCCCTCCAGAAACTCGGAGAATACATTGCCGGCCTCCTGTTCCTTGCGCAGCTGATCGAACTCCAGCACAGTGCTAAGGTCTCCATTCCGTATGCATTCCTTCAGCTCATCCTTGTCCATGTCGATGCGATAGTTGAAATCACCGCACCAGAATACCCAATCATGGGATTTGAGTGTGCGGCCCATGGGAAAAGCCAGTTTGCGCGTGATTTCCGCATAGTCAGCGTTACGTTCCGCCACCTGCGATTGGCCGGCCGCAAAGTGGGCGCACACAAAGCACATGGAGCTGCCGTGCAGTACGAAACGAATCGCACAGGCGCCCTTATTGCCCGTGGCACCGCCCAGGCCCGTCTTCACACAGTCAATGGCCACGTCGCGTATGTGCGGAGCGTGCTCCGGCCGTATGTAGATGTACAGGCAGACGCCCACCAGCTGCTGATAGGTGAGCAGCACGTAGTCATTGTCCCGCGAAATGGTCTTCTGCAGCTCCTCGGCCCACAGCTTGGCGTTGTCTGTGCTGGCGGCCATTATATTCGATGCATTCAGATCCACGATTTCCTCAAAGCCAATGGCATAGATATCCACCGGATGATCAGCGTGCTCCGACGGATTGTTGACATCGACCAGCGCCTTAGAGCGCGCCAGAGCGTGACAGTCGAGCAGCCAGTCGGCCAGCGAATCCTTGAACACAATGCTCTTAAAGTGCTTGCCGCCATTCACATTGTAGGTGCCGACAGCGACGCGTGCCAAGCGTGGACGCACGTACTCCGTGTAGCGCTTGCAGAGCTCTCGCAGCGTTGTGGTCGGCGCATGCAGCATGTTCGAGGGCAACAGAATACGCGCTCGATCCGCCAGCTCCGAACTGAGTGTGGAGCCCACGAGCAGAATATCAATTGCTTCCTGTGGGGGAGTTATATAGAGATCATATTGTTTATACTATTTGCCCACTCACCTGCTTGGAATTGTCCAAGAGATTGTTCTGTATGGTGCGCGCTGCAGATCGAGCGCCGTCCATGAGCTTGGAGCCGCCTTGGATGGCGCCAGTGCCGGCATAGATCTTGCTCACCTCGTTGCCATTGTTGATCCACATTTGGCGAAAGATCTCCTCGAAGCGTGAGACGTTCTGCTGCTTGCCGCCCATCTTGAGCGCCTCCAGCTGCAAATTGAGTATGTCCAGGCCCAAATATGTCTGCACACAGTTGGTGCGATCCAAGCAGTCCAGGCAATTGGTGCGCACGACGCCGAACTGCTCGCTGATTATCTGCCCGTTGGAGGCGTGGAAGATGCCATAGTTGGCACCACAAGCGACCATGCGCTCCTTGAGCTTGGCCAGCGCCGAGAAGTTGCCGCCGCGGCACTCTTGGTGATAGTCGAAGACCACATGCGGCACATCCTTGTGCGCGGACATGCCATGGTGTCGCTGGAACTCGTTGCTGAGCATGGCCTCGCCCTCTTTGCTGCCGATGAGGGAGCTGCCCAGCAGATTGACTATCGTCTGGTAGCCGTAGCGCTGTCGCATCATGGTCATGTGACGATCAAAGGCCGCGGCCGAGGTCTCGAATCCGCGCGAGAGCTTCACCTTATGTGAGCCCACCTGGACGCCGGGCTGCTCCCAGAAGAGCGGCACAGAGCCGCGGGTCTGCACATGGCTGGTGATCTCACCATCCACATAGATCACCTGCTCCGTCTCCACAAAGTTGGCCACATAGCCCTCGTCGTTGGTGCCACGGACATTGAAACGCGTTCCAGCGCGCTCACAGCTCAGCCGCGAAATGATGGCGGCTCGTGCCTGCTTGGCGCCTATGTAGACGGTGCGCACCTCCACGGAGCCGCACATGGTCTGCAGCAGCCACGACTGGCAGTCGATGCCGAAGCGCATCAGGTGAATGTGCATCATGCGGTTCCAGAAGAAACGATTGTCCGTCTCCGACGTCTGGTGGCGCCGCTGCGCACACAGCGTTATGTCAAACTTGCTGTTGGACGAGGTGGAGCCACTGGCCGCGCCCGACCCAGACGCCGATGGATTCGTGTGCGCGAAATAGAAAGTGCCCGAATTGAGCAGCTTGCGCACTTCGCTAATCTTATCCTCGTTCAGCACCGCATTCTGCAGCGAAACGAATGTGGTTTGCGTTATTCGAAAGATTTCCACATCGCCAATTTTGCCCATCGATACGCAGCCCGTGACGAGCACCAGAAAGAGCACAGTGCTCTCGCCGGCATTCAGCTGCAGCACGCCCAAGCAGCCGTAGGCATCGCACACCTGTTGGCGAGTGTAAATATAGATTCGATTGTTATTATTATAA